GCCATGCTAATTTTATCTTAACTCATAGTGATTTTACTTGATTCCCACTCTCATCCAGTGGAAAACCTTGTTCTGTCTCATTTACCATGGTTCTCTCATCTCAAATAAATAATTTTTTAAAAGAAAAATATCCTGACTCACTTCTGTGAGGGAAAACGAAGGTTAGCTATTTTGTTTGTTTTTGATACAGGAGCTGGCCTTAAACTCTCTGTGTAGACCATCTCAGGCTGGCCTTAATCTTGCAGAGATACACCTGCCTCTGCCTCCCAAGTGCTGGGATTGAAGGTGTGTGTTTCCACATCCAGCTCAAAGGTTTTGAACAATACGTTACATCTGTATCCTCAAGAGATAGTGCCAGGGTATTGCACTTGTGATACTAAACTTTGTTTGGTTCATGTACTCCCTAATGTGTAGTGACTCCTATAGACGCCAAGCCCTTTCCTTTGTCATTTCTGCCCTTTGTCTTTTTATTTCTCTAAGAATGACTGTTCTTTGTTGATGATCCTATGCAAGCTAGTGTTTACTCACCTCTTTGAGAACTACTCATTCTTTGGGTGACTTACATATACATAAATTATATTTGTTGAAAACTAGTAGTTTTGTCTTGATAATCTCTTTTAAGGTAAGATCCTTTCTTTTATTTTCTTTAGTATATGCTAATAGTGAAAAATAATGGCTTCCATTAGGACATTTTCAAATACGTATGTAATGTACTTTCTTCCTATTTACCCTCCCTGTAGCTTGTCTTGGCCATATCCTCTCCTCTACCTTTTGTCTTCCCATAATCCCCTTTCTACTTTCATGTGTTTTAATTTTACATAGATTCTACATCTGAGGGTAAACATATGACATTTGTCTGGGTCTGGCTTATTTTGCCCAAAATGGTGATTTCTGGTTTCTTCCATCTTCTTGCAAATGACATGATTTCATTCTCAGTGTCTCCTTGTATATACCACATAGCCCAAGGGTATAATAGACATTCCTGTCTAGGCTCATGGAACTTCTCTTTGTGATGTTTGTACAAGGATGCATTTCTCAGAATCTATTCCTATTCCTGGGGCATGACACCATATTAAACACAGCACACCCATCACTAAAATGAGCCATACATTTCAAATGTTGTTATATTGTTTTTCCAATTGCATTTTTAAATGAATTAATATGTTACAGATACACTTGGCTCTCAGACCTGCATTCTTTACCTAGTATAAGCTTTGGAAGTTATGAAGTTTGCACATGTTACTCTGTCTCAGGTTTCACAGCATATTAAAACATATTAGGTATCAAATGCTATGGACATCACATTTCAAAAGAGCTGTAAGTTTACAGGCAGGCACTGAATGTGATGTTTCTGATGATGGGTTACCAACTCTTAAGCCATCATTGACATCAAGGATATAAAAATGTCTGGAACTGAATTTTTATGTCAGGAATATTAAGTTGGATTTAATTTAAAAGTGAAGTATCTTTTAGCCTTCCAGTTTTGTGCCTAGTGTGGGCAGAAGGGCTTCACTGTTTCTTATCTCTGCCTTCTAACATTTGTTCCTTTTCCTGATGTTTGTATCTATAGCTTATGACACTGTAGCATTGGATATAGCTATGGGAAGAGGGTCAAGAAAGCAGGATTTTATTTGTTCTGCTAGGGACCTGGCTGGTCTCTGAGCTTGCCATTAGTACAGAGTTGATGTAGCCTGTTTTGTAGAACTCATGCCAGTCTTTGTCATGTCAAGGTTGTGGTAGAGATTGCTGTCTGTCCTCCACTCCAATAATACATTTTAAGAGATATCTTCCAACCACTACAAATACTTGGAATGGAATGAGAAATGATTTTCATTTACATATAGATCACCATTCTCTAGGATACTTCTAAGGTTTTATTAACAATGCCATTATGAACTGCCTTTTCTCCCACTGTCATCTGTCCATAAGTTACTTATGTGTTTTGACAAGTTCAAAGAATTATTGGCTGAGAGAAATAGAAGAAGTACATGCTGGGTAAATTGTGAAGTTATCAGTGTAAATTCCAGAGTGACCAGTTCAAGTTCCAAATATTTCAGAAATCCTTCCCTGGTTACCATCACCACACTCACAGACATAGATCTTCTTCTCCAGTCCCTAACATGTACTTAGAACAATTGTGCTAATTTAGATAGGTGCATCTAAGGATATCCTTTCTTCAACACTCTGCACACTCCTTGAGAACAGGAAACTAATCACATCACTTTTACAGTCAGCATTGTGTAGTGACAATATCAGTGCCTAGTACATACCACAGCATCTTATAGAAAGAGTGTCACAGCCACCTCCTCAGTCTAGCAGCTGCCACAGAGGTGGGTGGAGAATGTGGTCAAGGTGATTATAGTCACAGTGTGGAGACATGATCTGATTCTGCTTGATTCATGACATCTTCAGTTCATGTCAATGGCAAAGTCAACTCCTGATGTCTTATTTACAAAACAGACTCCAGACCAGCAATGGCATAAGATTTAGATTTGGAGATCCAATAACCTTACTACCTGTGTAGGTTGCCTAAGGTAAGCATGGGACACAGGGTGGTTGAGGAGTTAATTCGAGAATCCAGGTATCCTGATGCCATATTCTGTGCCCTTTCCAATCTGGCACTCCCAGGTTCTACATTTATTGTTTTTCTAGAATTTCAACTAATTGAATATATGTCTAGATTCTTCAGCAGCTGCAAAATAGATCTCCACTTACTGATTGTCTAGGGCAAAAGCCTTGATTTTAGGTGCTAAAATATAAGACCCAATTTGCCATCACACCGTGGGGAAAAAGAAAAACCACCAAAATACTTTTCATAAGCCCAGCTGCCTGAATTATTGTTCTTATGCAGGTAGAGCATATAAGTTATCTTTCTTCTTGTTTTCTTTTTAAAATATTTATTTTTATGCATATTTTTATTGAGCTTTGTGCATTTCATACAATAGATCTCAATAATATTTAGACCCCCTCCTCATGCACACCTCCCCCATACCTCCCCATTGGATTTCATGTATTCTGTCATATATGTTAAGGCCATATATGGTCAAACATTTGTACCCAGAGTCCCTTGGTGCAAGTTCATCTACTTGAGTCTAGTCAGAGCCTGATTTCTGTCCCCAAATGTCCTTCAGTGTGGGTTCATCCACTGGGTGCCACCAAGAGTCCCATTCCTGTAAGGCGCTGTCTTTTCCTCTCCCGTAGCCATCAGTTGCCGAAAGTTCCTTAGGTTGGGTTGGGATTTCTTACCCACTTCCCCATGTCTATGCTGGGGTTTTGTCTTGTGTAGGACTTGTGCATGCTGTCACTATTGCTGTGAATTCGTATGTGTAACTGATCAGCTGTCTGGAAGACTGTTTCCTTGTGGTCATCCACCCTTTTTGGCTCTTACAATCTTTCCACCTCTCCTTCTGCAGTGATCACTGAGCCTTGGGAGGCAGAGGTATGAAATATGTCTCCTAATCAGGGATCAGCACTTTGCAGTCTCTTGTTCTCTGTACATTGGCCAATCGTGGGTTTCTGTGTTGTTAATCACCATCTGCTGCATAAGGAAAGGTCTCTGGTAAGAGCTGAGTTCTTTCTATGTGCAGAAGTTGCATTTAAAATGTATTACTTAGGGTTAACCACCTCATAGACACTTCTCTACATTTGACCAATTCTGCAACTCTGTAATAGTCTCCATCTGTTGCAAAAAGAAGCTTCTTTGATGAGGGGTGAAAGGCACACATGTCTGTAAATATGAGAATGCATATTTAGAATAAAGTAAGGAATTACACTGGTTTAAGGATATGGTAAAAGTAGATTTTTCTCTAAGATCTAGGACCTCTCTAGCTATGTATATTTGGCTTTGTTTACAGTACAACACATGAGTTCCCTCCCATTGAATTGGCCTTAATCTCAATTAGTCAGCTGCTGATTAACCCCAAGATAAAAGTGTCACTACTGCATCAATAGGGATAGTTTGCTGGGCCAGATGTTGTTTGTTAGGTTTCACATCTGGGTAAGACTAACTGTTTTCTTCCCTGATACCATGAGAGCAAGTCTTCAGGGAGGAGCTTCCAGGTCAGTTCCAGCTCAATTGTTTCAAGTCCTGTGTCAGAAGGATGTCCTGTCTTCAGCAACAGGGTCTTACCTTCAAGTTCTGGGAGGCAATCAAGGGCTGTGGAAATAGCCTGTGTTATTTTAGAAGTCTCTTGGACTACCCTGAGCAACAGCTTGAAGGGAGGCTTCTCCTGCCTGACTCTGTATTTTTTGTTATATAACTTTCAGCTGAACACATGCACTTATACATTTATTATATGTGTATTTTTCAGTAGGACTTTGAACTAATATATTTCAATCTGTTATTTTCATACCATCTGAGCATTATCTCTCCTCTTACTCTCCCCTGTATAACCTCCCCCAGTTAAAGTACCCCCTTTTCCCATTTCCCCCTTAATAACATCTGTCTTCTACTGTCTGCCCCCTCCCCCCGGTACTTCTTCCCCATGGTTATTTTCCATTTTCCTGGCTTCTGGGGTCACTTTAGGATGTATACTGATATCTAGGGATTTGGAGCTAAGAAAGTTATTTTTCTTAAACCAGAGAACTCAATGATACTTAGATATAAGAGAACTCACTCTTTCAAAACCAAACTTACCACCTTCCACAATGCAAAAATCGTAGAACATTATATTTCTCTTGAAAAAGCCCTAAGGAAAAACACAAAATCCTCATCTTATACCTTTATGCTTACAATTTGAGGTTTGTAGTTTGAATAAGAATTATTTCCATTATGAAAATTGAAAACAAAGTAGAATAATAAAAATTCAGAGGATACTTGAAAGATTCATTGGTATTGTCTAAAAGGTTGTGAAAATTTGTAGTTCTGACTACTTTATGAATTATAAGAAAAAGACTTTGAAAGTATTACAGTCACTGAGGCATTTTCAAGATATGAATCTAAGAGGAGCTAGTATATTATTGAATCTCAACCCCTCTCTGCCCAAAGGAGAGACTCTCCATCATTCTTTGCTTTCTGATGTCTCCATGGTTTCCTGAAGATGGCTGGTAGTATACCCCTCTTCCTTAGGAGTGTCCTGCAGAGCCCTCTGGAGAACCATCTTGAGGGACTGATGCTGCCTTCGCTTTCTAAAGGAGCCAACAAAGAAGTAAATGGTGGGGTTGGCATAGCAGTTGACACAGGACAGGACAACAGTAACTCGATAAGTGTGACAAAAGGGGTAATGTAAATGGACCCCAAGCCAGAATAATAGGAAAAAGTAAATGCCAAGGGGCAGGCCACAGATGAGGAAGACTATCACTGTTAGGCAGATGGTAGCATACAGCCTGGTCACCGGAATCCGCCTAGAGCCACAGAGGATCCTCACCAGTAGGGCCAGGCTGGACCCAGAGAGAACCACAAATAAAAAGATCAGATATGCAGTTATTATAAAATCTGCTTTTTTCCACAAATTTTTATGAACATCCTGAAACCCATTTATGAATATAGTATAGTACCAACTGTGGATGGTCATCAACAAGGACAAGACCCAGATCAGAGCACATACAATAACTGACATGTTTCTTGGGCGGTGGCAGTGATACCAGATTGGCCACAACACAGACAAGCAGCGCTCTGTGCTAATGGCACTGAGAATGCTCAGACCTGACATGTAGGGAATGATCGCTCCATTATTTAAGATTTCTTTACTTAAGTTATGGGCATATAAGCCATAGGAGTCAATGATCCGCAGCAGGGAATCAATAATGTGGCAGCAGAGGAAGAGAAAGTCTGCCAGAGCCAAGTTTAAGATGTAGACTGAGATGGCGTTCCTGCGCATGCGAAAGCCCAAAAGCCAGAGCACAATGGCATTTCCTGCCAGTCCAACCAGGGCAAGGATGACAATCAGGAAGTGCAGGGACAGGATTGGAGCACAATTTTGATTAAGAGGCTGGCCAGTTCCATTTGTTGGTGTAGATTCTGTGTTCTGAGATGAGATGGTTAGATTCATGTCCACAAAATCTTCTCGTGGTGTCCCTGAGAACACAAACAAGATTTGAGCGTCTTCGTGGTGACTTACTCTCATGATCAAGGTACTATATAGGAACTTCGGCCTATGTTAGAGAAAGGAGGGTAACATAATTATACGGATTGAGATACCTGAAAGAGTTACAGGGTTCTGGACTGTGGAGTGAAACCTAAGGCTCTTTGCTATAGTTTGAGCTTCCCACACTGTGATCTGTACCATTCAGGACTTCTATATAACATGGGAATGATCCATTTTACTCTATATCATATTCTACAATTCAAGCTGATGTACTCAATGTGTGCAAAGGACCCAGGGCTACTCTGTTCTGCTCTTTAACTTTTCTCATGTGACAGGCTTGATAAAGACACAGAAGTAACCATGAAATCCCCACGACTAGGAAGATTCTGTCCGTGGAAAAGTATGAAGACCATATTTTAGGACTACAGTGTTAATGTGAGACCTTTCTAGGACATTTTTTAAAAGATGACTGGGCGTAGTGAGTTAGAAATGACACAGTGTGGTAATTCTTGAAGACAGGAGTGTTTATTACATTCTTCAGGGCTTAGATTTTGTGTGTCACAATATTTTTTTTCCTTTTAAAGCATGCACTTTAAAAATTGCATTTAAAAATTTATCTTATGTGTGTGTGTCCATGCATGTGAATATCAGAGGGGAGCTTGCTGAAGTTCCTTACTTTCGCCTTGCTTATCCTAGGGATTGAGCTAGGATGGTCAGCCTTGGGGGCAAAAGCACCTTTACCTGCTGAGCCATCTCACCAGCCTACTTTGTGTTCTTAGCATTTCTTCAATGAAAAAAGAATGAATGAATAGCAGATCATTTGGCTTAAGTAGAAAATGTAAATTAAAAGAAGTGGGAAGAATTACAACATACACATAATAGTTATAAAGAAAAATCTTATTGAAATAATAATAATGAAAGAAAGGGTCAAGAAATTGAGAGGGTGTGGGAGGCATGGGAAAAGCTGGGGGAGAAGCAAGGGGTGGAAATGTAAATATAGTACAAATAAGTATTTTTCTAAAAAAGTTATAAAAAAGAAAAATCTTATAGTCATTTTTTTGTGGATAGCTTTGTGAATTTTAGAATGATGTATATGCTCAAATAACTGAGGTTAGCTATCGAACGATTTTGTTATTCGAATTCAGAACAACTTTGCCCAGCACCTAGCAGCATTTTGGTAAGAAGCATGCACACAGGGTTTGGGCTGAAACTGAACTATTCATCAGTACAGAAAACGTAGTAAGTTATACTGAGGTCTGAGTGACTTTATAAAAGGTATTTGCAATATGACAGTGGCTATGGAGGTGTGTTAACAGTATGCTGAAGAGTGCATGATGCAATCATATTCTAGTCTCTTACAAAGAGACGGTTCAGCAGTTAATTGTGCTGCTGACTACTTTTGCAGAGGACCCAGGTTCATTTCCAAGCTCCTACTGTCCATAACTCCAGTTCTAGGGGATCTGGCATCCTCTTCTGTCCTCCGTGGGCATTGCATGACACAGGTGCACTTACACATGTCCAGGTAATATACTCAGACACATAAAATAAAAATAATAAATAAGATGTTTAAAGAGAGCCTAGGTAGAGTTCATTTGCTAATCAAAGTTTTTGCATTCAGTATGAAAGGCACAAAAACTCAATAAAAATACATAAAAGAACACCTAATCAATTAAATGTTCAAAACTAAAAATAATGAAATAAAACAGATAAGACCTAAAAAGAAAGAGTCCAGTGAATACAGTAATTTATGAAAATCTCACAAAAATTAAATAAAAAATTAGATTAAGTAGAAAATGTAAATTCAAAGAAGTGGGAAGACTTACAACACACACATATAGTTATAAAAATCTATTACTGAAATAGTAACAATGAATGAAAGTGTCAAGAAACTCGGGGAGTGGGAGGCATGGGAAAGCTGGAGGAGGGAAGGCTGGTGGTGGAGGGGGTTTAGAAATGTGCATGGTTTAAAATCCAAAGAGATGCACACATCTGGAATTTAAAATCCACAAAGGACTGCTCACATCTGGGGGAAACACCAGGTCTGAAGATGAAGTGAAGGGACAAAGTCATCATGAAGTCTAGTGCAGCTGGGTCTGCGGTGAGGCTGAGCATCAGCAGGAGCGTGTGGTGGAGCAAGGTGGTCAGAGAACAGGAAGCAGAGCCTTTGCTAGCTTCCACTTCTTTCTCTTTTGTTTCGTTTGGGTAGAGACACCTACATTCCATGTTGGATTCCCACACTAATACACTCTGCAATACCCTCAAAGAAATACCTACAAGTATGATTTGCTAATTCTGTAGACTTTTCTTAATCCAGCCAAGTTGTCAATCAAGTTTAGCTATTACAAACACCACCATTGGTGACTTGACACTCAAATACATCTTAAACAACACCTAGCGCCAAATAAAAACAATAGCATGGTCGTATTCCATCTAACATGATACACGTGCACATGTGAAAATGCATTAGTCCCACCCCCAGCAACCGTCTCAGCTTGCTCAGAAGCCCAAGTTGAAAACGTCTTTACTGAAACTCCTACTAATTTCTTAGTGTGACTCTCCTGTAAAACAATTATAAAAAGCCAAATGTAGAAACTCCCAGCTTACAACGGAACAGTGTAAACATTCTCATTCTAAAATGGAGAAACAGAGCAGCACAGAAGCACTGGACCAAAATAAGATGGAAACCCAGCAGTGCAAACATTAAATCCTACAGCCTCATGTCCAGCATCTGCGTCATAGGGCAATGCCCTGTAAGCTCATGGCAATCATGGCAGCCCATATGACCTCTCTCCTGAACTGGCTTTGCTCACTGCTCATGGCTGTTCTCAGCAAATATTCCATTTTTCTGGGACTTCAATTTTCTGGGATCTTCATTTGACTTTCAACTTTATTCTCACAGCTAAGCAATAAATTCAGCACATGCTCTATCAAAATACTATCAGATATTGCTGATATTTTGTGCTAGTTTGGAATGCTGATTCTAAAATTTACAAGCAAATGCAGAATACCCACTCATAAAATCGTCTCACAAAATAGAAATCAAGTTAGAGTACATACACTATGTGATGTACACATACCACAAATCTACGATCATTAGAACAGCATGTGTTAGTTTAAGTCTAGACCAAAGATTAGTATATATGCTTTGGTAAAGTACAAACTAGTCAATATTTTAGTCTTTGAAGCTGGATGATGTCTTTCACAAATATTTAACTTTGCTGTTGTGTGAAGGTAGTCACAGGTAATGCATAACATCCTCTCTCTCTCCCTCTACCCCCCATTCTCTTTCCTCACTACCTACTTATATCATTTAGATAAAAAAATCACTACATTAATGGGATTCAGACATCTCCATAGTTTCCCAAGGAAAAGTTTTCCTGATTTTTTTCTCCACCTCTTATGTCCTCTAAGACCTCCTGGGGAATCATCTTCAGGGACTTCTACTGTTACTATTGATGCTATTGTGGACAGAGGAGTCAAAAAGAAGGAAATGATGGGGTTGATCCTGAGAATATACAGGATATAAGTAACACTACTAAGGTAATTTAAAAAATCATGATGTTAAACTGAACTAGGATGCTGGAAATCCCAGTTCAGTTACAGAGGAGGAACTCTAGCACTGTGAACTCAGGGGTCATATACAGCTTGGTCAACAGCTTCTGCTGGGAACCACAGAAAGTCCTGCTCAGCAGGGCAGTTGGGACCCAAATAGAACCACAAAATACCAGCCTTGTAGTAGAGATGAAATGTTCTTATGTACTTTTTTTTTCCAGGATGTACTATCAGCTTCAGGGATCGTACCCAGAGAAGGGCACATAGGACAGGTACCATGTGTCTCAGATGTCAGTAGGGATAGGTCATGGGATAGGTCAGGAAACAGTGATAATGGTGGCGAGCATGCTCAGGACTACTGTATAAGAACAGCTGATCACAATGAGTAAATAACTGGGTAGGAGGATAGAGGTGGAACAGAAGATATAGTTGAATTACACCAGGCAACCTACAATGACAGCACAGAGAGAGGAAGTTGGTCTTCCAGGTTACAGATAAAGGTGGGGAAGGCATTCCTATGCATGCTGAAACTCAGAACCCACAGCATTAGCATGTTTCCTGCCAGCCCAATGAGAATGATGATGAGGATCAGCCAGCTCCTGAGCAGGCGCTGCTTGTAGAAATATAAAGAATGTCTTCGGTTCCATTCATTTCTGTGATCTGGGTTTCCTTGGTTGAGATGTCCGTATCTACACTCACAGAATCTCCACTGGTGTCCCTGGAAACTCACATAAGCAGGAGTCCCTGCTGCATGAGCTCTGATTCTCAGGGCCACTATTCTGTGTAGTGTTACAGTCCCCGTGTTATAAGAGAGGCAACAGAGGTACAAAATCAATTAATTTAAAAAGGTGTGAATTTTTTTCAAGTTGGGTTGGTGCTAAATAGTGTATTTTCTCTACGGTTGCACAGGCCCTCTACTAACAGAATAATCTGTAGTCTGGATGTTTGTATATACTCCACCAAGCAGTGTGTCCAGAATTTCTTGAGGTAGTAAAAGAAAAGTCTTGGATAGGACCCAAGAAAACAGAACTGTGGACCCAGGCATTGCCTGTCCCGGGCTGGAAATGTTCTCTCAGGTACAGAAATTAGAAATGATCAAGAAACTCTCAGGCTACCCTGAAGGCTATTGGTGTAGGAGATTCTGACCCCTTAGTAGGACAGACAGAAGATAAATTGTCCTGTCACCCTTTGAAGACAAGAGCATGTCTATTTCTCAGTGTTTAATTCTGTGTGTGGCATACTGTGTTTTCAATATCTGTTCAGCAAGTGTGTGAGTGGAAGAGGAGTGTGATAGAAGTGGACTATTTGGGTTAATGTAGAAGTAAAAATGAAAACACAATTTATAAGTGTTAAGACATTAGGTAAAATG